GGAAGCCTGAGGCAGAGTTGCTCTGCCCCAGGCTTCCTGGAATCAGCTGCTGATCAGTTTCAGCAGCAGCTGACTTGGGGACGCCTGGGGTTCTTAAGTTGATTCTGTATGTAAGTCAGAACTGGCGGTCAGTTTCAGCAGCGGCTGAATCTGGACGCCAGTTCCGACTTACGTACAGATTCAACTTAAGAACAAACCTACAGTCCCTATCTTGTACGTAACCCGGGGACTGCCTGTAATTAAAATCCCATTTGGGTAGAGATGATGTGACAAAAGCCTACCAAGCCGATGACAAATGTGGACGTTTTGGGATATCCTAGAGTGTGTTTTCTCTCCTTTAAAACATAACTCAACCGCTGACTGGATGGGGGTAAAGCAGGAATTCTTTTGCTCCCCACCCAAGATGCTATTCCATAATTAGCCAGCACTTTCCTCTTGAAACGCGTACTTTGGCTTCATTTGGAGATAAGATACCAGATTACAAGTCACATCCAGTGTGAAAATTTCTATGTTCCTAATGAAAAATGTGCAAGCTGCAGGTTCCTGGGTGAAGAAGGGGTGGAGTGTTTGTTCTTTTTGCTGTTTATATTAATAGATGTGCCCACGCTACCTGAGTCCGCCCCCCCGCGCTCCTCAACCAGCCCCACATCCTCCTCCCCACCTACCGGATGAGCTGCCTCCACAAGGCCAGCGTCTCCTGTGGGCCATAGTGCAGGGCCTGCATGGCTCTTCTTGCTGGGCTCTGGGACAGCTGAGAGCAGCCCCGCTGCTGCCTCGGGGGTATGTGTGTGCATTCGCTGCTCCCATTCAGCCCAAGGGACATGCTGTGCTCCTGAGGGAAACCTCCAGCCCAGCACGCTTCCTGCCAAGTCACTGCTTCGCCCGGGGGAGCTGCTGAGCGCCGCCACTGGAAGGCGAGATCTAGGATAGGGTGACCGCTGGCTGGAGGAGGGGGGTGCTCATGTTGCAGATTCCTTATTACTAAAATGTTTCAGGGATCCATTTTACACCCACTCACCACAGGTGAAAGTAAGCGAGTGTGTAGCAACCGGGGGAGAGGGGTGTTGGTAAGCGTAGCAGGGGGAAGTGGAGGGAACGGTTTGGTGTGTGTAGTAGCCACAGAGGAGGGTACAACTTCCTAGCATTCCTTTAAAAAAGAATAGAAGGACAGGTTTCCATGGAAGCATTTCTTTTGATGGGAGGTGTTCTTAAGCTACATTTCGTTTCAGAACCTAAACGTTGGGCCTAAATTAATTTTTGCAGTATGATTCTAGGCCCATCTACACTGCAAGTGCAATCATATCACAGGAAGCACTTAACGTGCTGTTGTCCCTAGTCATGGTTCGACTTTGGTATTGAAACAGGCTGTGACGCTGCGCAATGCTAGTGCCAGTTCAGGCCTTAAAAAGGTACAGTCAGCTGTGTTCCCTGTGGCTGGGGTGTTCCTTTTGGTAGCTGGGTGTTTCTCTGGAGGAGCTTGGAAGGCAGAACCCGCTGATGTGACTCCTTGTTTAAGTTGAGCCAATGCAGGAGCCTGGAGTCATGTCCCTTTGAGTGTGTTGCTGAGATGAGCTGCTGCAGTTTGAACCAGCTGGAGCCTTGTGTCGCCAGATACATTGTTACAGTAATGTAATTGAAAGGTCACTAAAGCATATGTCACCTGTGGCTGGGCCTGAGACTGACAACTGAGGCAGATGTAGAAGGAACAAGACCTTTCCATAGCCAGAGATTTATGAAGGGTCCAGGATTGTGTTGATAGACTTGTCTATCTGAGGGCAGGTAACAAAGATTGGAGTGTGTGGGGGGGTGTTGTGCTCTTGCACACCTCTGAGTCTGAGAGAGGACAGCTGTGATCCATCACCGATAGTATACACGGCCTTTCGGATCTAGCAGCCATCGCATGGCTGTACACCAAAATCCAGGGATAAGAAGCTGTCATCAGCATGTCCACATAGGAAAGGTTTATAGGTGACCAGTTAACTGGTGGGGGCTGGAGCAACACCCTGTTTGCCACAGGCAGGGGGCTACTCCAGATCCATGGGGGCCGTCCGCCCCTTTAATTGGTTAATTGTCTAAACAGCATGTTTAACTGGTTAACCAATTAAACAGGATTTTACATTGCTAGACCACAGCATCAGCTCTGTCCTGCTCTAGCCTGAAGTTTTATTGGGAGAGATCCAGAATATTGGAAGTGGCCTGGGAGATATTTCTTTACTCAGAAATGGGAGGTTGGATACTGAGTGTTGGGTGATGGAGCTGGTTGCGTGGCATGATATTTCCTCCCCAAAAAAGACTTTGGTTGTCATATGAACTCTTGCGGTGCGTCTGGGGCTTCCTGTTAGGCCATTTTGAGAGGCAGGGTATTGTGTTATTGGGTCTGTGGTTTTGTGACTATTTCTTGACAATAATTGCTCAAGACTTTACAGTGGGTTGAGCACATAGTTAGGGGTCCCATCTACACAATAAAATGCAGATGTGCTTTAGCCATTTTGGATCACAAGTGCATCTGTCTGCTTGTTCTTCCAGCACAAATGGGCCCTGTGGAGCCATATTTTTGCAGCTATTTATGCACCTGGCATTTGAATGCAAGTTTATTCTGCCCACCTTGCTCATTTAAACATGCTCAAAGCACTGTTTTAGGCTTTTAATCATTTACAACATCAGAAGCGAATTGTGATAATATGGTCTGACCTTCCACATATCACAGGTCATGGAGTCTAGTGATGCCTCTATCTGTGCCAACTTGTATTGGAGCTTTAACATGTCTAGAAAAACACCCAACCTTGGTTAATACTGCATGTGCCAAGCAATGGAGAATCCAGCACATCCCTTGGTAACCTCTTTCAATGATTAATTACACTAATTGTTAAACATTTGTGTCTTGTTTCCAGGTTTTCTGATCTGAACTTACAGCCACTGGCTCATGTTTTTCCCTTGTCTGCCAGTTTAAATAGCTCTCTCTCAGCTGTCTTCTGCCTGTATAGGTAAGTACAGATTGTGATTAAACTTCTTTTTGATAAGATAAATAGATTTAGTTCCTCTAGTCTCTCCTTGTCAGGCAGGTATTTCAGACTGTAAAGCATTCTTGTGCTACTGTTCTGAAATCTCGTTTGCCAGCATCTATTTGGAAATGTGGCATCAGAACTGTAAAAGTCTCTCCGATGCTGCATACCGAAATAGTATCCCTTCCTGTTCCCCACAGCCGCACATTTATTTGCCTTCCTAGTACACTGCACTGGGAGCTCCTGCTCAGCTGCTTATTCACCATGGCCCCAAGATCACTTTCAGAATCCTGCCTTCCAGAATAAAGTCTTCATCCTGGACTGTGAACTCTGGTCACAGTTCTGAGATGCATGCAGTGTTGAAAGGCATGTGGCATGATAGTACCTAGTTAGCTATATTGCCCTGTAGAAGTGGAGCCCTGCAAATCTGTGGATATGCACTTTGTCAGATATTTGCGGCTCACTTTTGCTGATGCAAATTCTGTGTCTCGAATGCTGCAGATTTGCAGGTGTCTGCTTTATATCGCGGGTATTCACCTCCACTCATAGGGATGTGGATATCTGTGGATCTCCAGAGGCAGATGCCAGTTTATCTGCTCAGGGCTTTATGTACATGGGCTTTGTCCTTGAATTGCCACCTATCAATGTGGTGTTTGTAAAGATTATCCGCCAACGGTCTCATGTTTTCTTCCAGTTCATTGATAAAGGTATTGAATGATGGTTAAGCATCCCTGTGGAATGTCAATAGAAACACTGTCCCTGGGCAGTTATCTCCCCTCCCATTAATTATATATTTTTGTGATCTATCAATTACTTGGATTTTAATCTGTTTAATCCACTTTTAATATAGAAGTTTTGAATCATTATATGGTTTCAGAAGACAAAAGTGTATTATGCCAATAGTTATTACTTTTGTCGATCAAACATGTAATTTCAGATTCACTTAAAGGATCTATTTTCTTTGGGATTGTGTTGATTAGAATGAAATACCTTTCCAGTCTTCAGTTCTTTGATAGCCCTCTGTCAGCTAGTTCTGTCTTTCTGGCTAACTGGCTTGCAATTCCTGTTTTATTCGTGCTCTTAAGCCTTGGCACAGCAGTAGCTTTCATGCAGGCCACTGGAACTTCTCCAGGATTCCAAGATTATTAAAATTTAACATTAGTGGTCTGTTACTGTAATGATAGTGAGAGACATGGGTGGAGCTTCAGGGGGGAGGGGAGAAGAGGTTGAAGAATGGCTTGGGGACAGAAGAGGTCTGAGCCGGCATTAAATACTTCTGCAGTACATGTACCACGTGTGGTTCATGGGCTCTGATCAGTTGGTACGTGGGTTGATTAAAATCAGACTGGAGTATTTTGAGTACAGTAAATAAACATACAGAACTGCTTAATGAATGTGAGAAGCTCTACACGTCTGTTTTAAGATACATTAATTTTAGTGAAAGCAGAAGGAAAATTCAGAGATAAGAACAGAGAATTAATCTACTCTGTTCATAACTGACTGTGAATGGTGCAGCTGTGCTGACAATGAAGGCATGTGGACAGATTGCAGAGAGTCCAGCAGAGGATGATGAAAATGATTAGGGAGCTTGGGCACATGACTTAGGAGAGGCGGGGCTTATTTAGTCTGCAGAAGAGAAGTGTGGTTGATTAACTGATAAGCAGTTAATAGTTAATATTAGTTAATAGTGCAGTTGATTAACTGATAAGCAAAAGCTTATTGGTTAATGCTATAGACTACACGCATTCCCCCACCCAGCCAGTAAATTTTTTAGCAGACTGGGCAGCAGCTTGTCTCAGTCCTGGCTCACTGGGTCCAGAACCTATCCCCATTGTGGCTCTGCATTTAAAGTGTATTAGGAGCCAGGCGGGCAGGCAGAGCATCTCAGTTCCAGTTCGCGCTGAGTCCAGGAGCTCAGTCCCCTTTCCCCCCAGACAGGGGCTGCTTCTACCTGGCTTCTTGGGAGTGGGGTCAGAGTGCATTGGCTTCCGGTTCCACTCCCTGGGGACTATAGAATAGTCGAATAACTGATAAGAATTCATGAGGTTAACCGATATTTAACATCTCTAGTGTGGGGGGGATTTGATAGCCTTCAGCTACCTAAAGGGGTGTTCTAAAGAGGATGGAGCTAGGGGTGTTCAGTGATGGAGCTAGGAGCAATGGTGTCAAGTTGTTGTGTGGGAGATGTAGGTTGAGTATGAGGAGGTTGTGGAATCTCCACCACTGGAGATAGGTTTGTCTAACCTGCTCTTAAATGTGTCGGAGTGATCGAGATGATGCTTGGTCCTGCCGTGAGTGCAGGGGACTGGATTTGGTGACCTCTCAAGGTTCCTTCTAGTTCCAGTATTCTGTGTTGCTTTTTGAAGTGGGAGCAGAATTATAAGGCGGAACATGGGGAGGGGACACTTTCCTTTAATTTCTGCTCAGGGATAGAGAAAACCATGTCTCCATTCTCCGCTCCCTCAAAAAGACAAAGGATACGCACACATGCCTGGCTAGGGGAGAAGCACTGAGTGGCTGGACAGAGGAGACAGCTGCAGGGCAGCCTTCTGCTTTTTGGTGCGGCTGCATCCTGGGCTGCAAGAGGCAATGTCCAATTAAGATTACAAATATGTGTTGCTTTGGCTTTTGAAGTTTAGGTGTGGAAACAGTTGATTTAGCTGGATGGGGCTAAGAAAGCTTGACTCTGAGTTGAGAGAGCTTGCTACAGCTGGGTGGGCAAAGCTTTAAAGCAGTAGGATCTCTAAAACTCTTGTAGGGGTCTGGGAAGTACTGCTCAGCCACATGGTACTAACTTAGGGGTGGCCAATCATTTTTGATGGAGGGTCTACTCCAAGATTTTGATAAGTAGTCAAGGCTGCATTTTTCTATGGAAGCGGTACGGGCTGTGGGGGGGAGGTTGGGTGCAGAAGGGAGCTTGGGGTTGGGCACTGGGGTCCAGGAGAGGGTGTGGGATTTGACAGGGAGTTCGGTGAAGTAGAGGATTGTGACCTGGGGCAGGGGATTGAGGTGAAAGGTGCAGGAGAAGATTCTGACCTGGGGGAGGAGTATAGGAGGGAGTGCAGAGTCTGGGAGGGAGTTGGGGTGCTGTGGGGAGGTGCGGGGAGTGTCAGAGGCAAGCAGCTCCCAGCCAGCAGCACACTCAGGCAGGTTTCCCTACCGGCCGGCAGCCCCTGGCTGGCTGTTCCATGTGTCTTTCTGCGCTGCAGAAGGGGAGAGTTTCATGTGCTGCCCCTGACCTCAGCAAAATCTCTCAGTTCCTATTGGCCAATGGGAGCTGAGAAATTTTGCTGAGGGTCGGGGCTGCATGCAAAGCCTCCTCCACCCCTTTGGCATTGCCAAGAGCACAGGGAGCTGCTAGCTACTTGGAGCGGCACTGCTCCGTGCCGCAAGGGTGGGCTGGCCAGATTAAAAGGCTTGGTTGGCTGCATATTGCCCACCCCTGTTCTAGCTCCTTTTCATTTCCATCTGACACACCATGTTAAATTAAGCTTAAAATACATGCATTACTCTTCTGGTATTGTTCATGTGAGCACCAAGTTATTGGTATCGGATTGTCGTGAGTGTGTGGGGGCAGGCGTGGAAATGGTCCTTGACTGAGAATGGGAGAGGGGTGTTTGAAACATTCTGTGAAGTTGTGGTCTAAGTTATAAAAAGGCTTGGGAGCCTGTGCTATTAGGAAAATCCACAGGCACAAGAGGGACTGGGGAACCCTGTTCAGATACTGGCAGCAACATTGATGGATGACCATGTGTTTTGTCCCCACAGATGACGTTAGTATGACTATGGCCCAGTCTGGGGCGGTAGTAGCAGCTATTGTGGGAGTCGTGGTTCTCCTCCTCTACTCCTCCATTCACAAAGTTGATGAGGGCCACCTGGCAGTGTATTACAGGTACGGTCCCTATGAGCGCATCCAGTGTTCTCACCAGTAAGTGGCATTCTGGGTTTAATTCTCATTGCCCTGCTCCATGTTCCCTGCCTGGGTCCCCTCCGAGTGTGGCAGGGGGGCCATTATTGCTGACTAAAGAGGTAAAAAATACGACACTAGGCTAATAATCATGAGAGTGTGTGTGGTTGTTTTTGGGTTTTTTTGTTTTGGTTTTTTAAAGAAAAATCAACTTGCTTTCTGATCTGTCTGGATTTTGAAGTCCTCTGTCGCCCTCGTGTGCATTAGGCAATTACAGGTTAAGATCCAGCTTTAAATGCATACAGACAGGTGCTAGCTCCCCAGCTTCTTCCCTCACTACTCCATGTCTCACCCACATCCTTGTGTGCTTGTTTCACAAATCCCAGTCTTCCTACACCACTGAGTACCTAGTCTCCAACTCACCCATCTCCCCTCACTACCCAGAGCCCTTCCTACATCCCCATGCACCTCACCTAACTCCTTTTTCTTTCCTGTACCCTGGGATGCCTGCTCAGCAGCTTCCCCCAGCAGCCTTTCCTGAACTCTCCACCCTTCCCTGGGGTCTGGTCCCTGCCCAGCACTCTGGCTCAATGCGCTTCCCTGCTGTACTGTGTGCCCAGTCGCCACCTTCCACTGCTGGCAGCTCCCAACTCTGCCAGACATGAGCAGTTAGGGGCAAAAACCTAACTGGCTTCAAGCCTGAGCTTACGTTTATAGAAGGGGCAGTATGAGGAGACCGCCAACAATGGCATGTAGCTGATCTGTGGTTGCTAGCAGCAAACATAGCCAATGGTGGCTGATGGGGAGGGCTCTGAGTTACTACAGAGAATTCTTTCCCAGGTGTCTGGCTGATGAGTCTCGCTGAGGATCTATTTAATCGTCATATTTGGAACTGGGAATGACATGAGGAAAAATTCTGATTGTCATGAGTCACGGATCACTTGCAGGTTTAAACTAGTGTAGCTGGTGTATTTTCTGTTACTTGAAGTCTTTAAATCATAGTCTTTAAACTTCAGGTAACTGAATCAGGCTAGGGATCTATTGTAGGAATGGCTGCGTGAGATTGTGGCCTGCCATGTGCTCGAGGTCAGGCTAGATGATTACGATGGTTATTCCTGACTTTAAAGAAGGACACATAGAGACCAGAGACAGTGAGGTCAGTTCACTAACTGCAGCTACTTCCTTTGTTTAATAAATCCGTTTTAAATGGAAGACGTGTTTTGACAAACTTTTCTTGTGTATCCTGCACATTTAAGGTTGTTTTATTTAATTGAAATTTTCAGATGTTGGTTTTGTGCATCTTAACTGATTTTCATCCAAATAGATCCTGTCCTTATTTTAGTAAATAAGAGATGCGCCTTTCATCCTTTTCTTAACTTATTCATTGTTAATTTTTTACTTTAAGCTATAGCGTTACCTAAATAGCATATCTTCCTCCTCCTTCTTCTTAAAATGTGCAAATGGAAAACACTATTAAAATTAATAATTTAAACCAAAGTTTCCTGCTTGCTGATTTAAATCATTATATTGGTGATTTAAATTGCCTTGATTTAAATCAGTCTCCCTGGCTAGACTATCTAGGGACACCCTTTCCATGTTTCTGTAATATTAGTTCTAGCATCTTGTGGTATCTGTGAGTTTATTGCTAGGCACGGAGTGGCCTCAACAGCTCCTGCATTACCAAATCCACCTTGTCACTTAGATTCCTTGTCTATGAATGGTGCCGTTCAGTGACCGTTTCTTAGCAAAGCCCTTTGGGTTAATATGCACTCCTCTGTGGGATATTAATGTGGAAGAAAGAGGAAGATACTAATGGTAGTAATTTGATGTGTGTGTAAAAGTGTTTTCCAGAGCTCTGTTTTAGAAAGAAGATTACTAGTCTCTGATAGCTGCCTTAGTTTACATTTTAGCACAGGTACTACTGCAAATCTGTGCAGGGTTGTGCTGTTGAAAAAGCTAAGCAGGAATACCCATCTTGTCTAATTGTAAGCTGCATGTTTTGTACATTGCTGGCATGAAGCAGGCAAGCTGAACACAGAAGGTACAGGGCAAATGTTATCTTGTACCAGTACTAAGGATGTAAAATCCCATTGAATTGTTTAACTGGTTAACTGATTGAAAGGGGCACAGGCAGGGGAGGGGCTGCACCAGACAGGCTGGAGCACTCCCTGTCTGTGGTGGATCTCCCACAGGTCTGGAGCAGTCCCCTGCCCACGGTGGGTGGGAAGCTGTTCTCACCCTCACCAGTTAACTTTCACCAGTAAGCCTCATCCGTTAAGGGTGAGGCTTACTGATTAACCCGTTAAGGGTGAAGCTTACTGATCAACTGGTTAAACATTCACATCCCTAACCGGTACCCCATAAAAGCTGATGAAATCAATAATTATTGGGAAAGTTTTGTTTAGTCTGCATTAAATAGCTTCCTCTTTAGCCCAATGACCTGTTAGATCACAAGTGTATTTTCTTTACCCTATGTTCCAGTAATGCTGTGTATTAATGCAGCCCTGTCAGATTTGATTTGTTCAGGCAAGTGACTTGGTTTTGGTGGGTGAGTAAAATAATCATTCCCCCCCGCTCGTTGTCAGTCATGGTAACGAGCAGGGTAGTAGAGCTTAGCTGATCTGTTGTGAATTATTGATCTATAGAAGCTTGTGGCCACGTCAGTCCAGTACTTTGAACGAGGTCTGGAACAGTCAGTACTGCTTCAGCATCTTCCATTTGTCTTTTCACAGGGGTGGTGCGTTATTACCCAGCCCAACTGGACCAGGCTATCACATCATGCTTCCGTTCATTACCACCTTCAAGTCTGTGCAGGTTAGTAGCTTCTCACAGGTGAGCTGGAGTAGGGTGGGGACATATGGGCCTGTCTGTAAAATGAAGGCCATATTGGCCAGCCCTCAGGAGCATCAGAGCACAGTACTTTGGCATATTGTCAGGCTGTAGCCACCCCCCTTTCTCTGATTCTGGCGTAGGGACTATGTTTGGTGTATCATGTTCTGCTGCGCTTTGCTCTCTGAATTGTTACCACCACCATGAATCTGGAAGGACTGAATGAGTTACTCTACCTTACTGTGGCTAGAGGTGCTGGTGACTTTCTGAGGACGTAGTGTAGAACAATGTTCTCTTTACTTTTTTTCCAGTTATGTGCAGAATAAATCTTATGCACCAAGGCATGTGCAGATGTGCACCACCAATAGAAGCACATGTTGCTGGCTATAGGAGACTGTGCGCGCTCTGCTAATCAGCTGGGTGGCAACTGAATCTCTCCTGGGTGGCCACCCAAGTGCTTACAGGGAACACTGGTGTAGAAACCCCCTACATTGCAAATAAAGGTGGGACCTGTGTTGTTTCCAATGGGAGCGCTCCACTGGCACAAACAAAAAGCTACTTGCTGACCCCGAGGCTCCTGCCTTGGGATGCTTCCCTTGCTGACCCAAGTGCCTTCCCATTGCTTGGGTCTGCAGACGTTCACTGCTATTCACCGGGCAGGGAGCTGCAATCCTTTTGGGTGCTGAGGGAAGGAGAGTCGGAGGAAAGAGAATGGCATTGCCTGCACCATCCTTTTTTTCCAAAACCATCACACAGAACTTCTCTAGCACACATTCCTTCTGCAACCCGGCTTATAGCAATCACAGCCCCCAGCAGCCTAAAGAGCAGTGCTCCTCTCTCTTTACCCCCTCACCCCGTCCTTTCCCCTAGTAACCATTACAGAGCATGCGTGCTGAACTTCCAGCAAGAGTATGGTCTGAACTGGTCCAGAAAGCGCCACGGGGACCTCTTTAGGGCTTGGCTGGTGACTGGTTAGTGCCTGGTGTCCCTGAGCTCTGATTACATGTCTCTTGTTTCAGACAACACTGCAAACAGATGAAGTAAAAAACGTGCCTTGTGGGACAAGGTATGTCTCTCCTCTGTGTTCCTCCTGTGGCAAGCCAATTTGATCAGTTTAATTCTCAGCTTGTGGCTACTTCGCTTGGAGGCACACGAGCCTGGGATCTGAGAATTATGGACAGAAGTCTTTGAGTAGCTTTTCAGGGGGGTGGGATCTGACATGCCCATTCAGAGTGTTTATCTAGTAGTAGAAATAGTCCCGGTTGTCTTCCATTCCCACTCCCTGCTGGTGCCAGAACTGACTTTCTGCGGCTGTCTGTGCACGTGCCACTTTATCCAGGGTGTATTTATGTCCGTCTCGTTTTACTTTTCTCCTGTTAGCTGATATTCCATTACTCCTCCTTGCCCTTAATCAACCTCTTAGTGCTTCTAGGTTGGAATTTGCACTCTAATGATAGAAGCTCCTCAGTTGATTTCCATGATATGCCAGGGAAATTAGAACCGCACCCCCTTGTGATTGGGCTTTCACGTTTGGAGTGTAGTCACATCACCTGAAATGAACCCTGACAAAGCCAGGATCTGGTGAAATGCAGAATATTTGTCAGTCTGGATCACCAGAAACTTTCTCTGAAATAAGAGCAGGTGAATGTTGCTCAAGTAAAGTTTAGCCACCCAAGAGGTTGATTTTGCAGTATTAACAATGCATTAATATGTGCCTAAATAAAGCACTTTGGGATACTTTGCGAAGATAAGCACTGCACACACCACATTGTTACTACTGCTTTCAAATGATGCGTAGTCAGCACTTGTATATGTAAATGCTATTGAATATTCCATAATTGAAAGTTTCTTCTGAAACACTGACCTAGCTATATTGCACATCCTGTATATTTTATGCCGGGGTGGGGAGAAAACAGTTGGGGGCTGCATACAGGTGAGACGTATCTAACTCCCCCTCTTCCCCCCAAATTCCCCCCCCCCCTCACTGACATAGACACTCCTCACATGCCTCTCGCACACCAGAGCCTAGCGGTGCCCAGCCTAGTAGATTTTGTGTGCTCCAGCCCTGTGGTGGGACAGCAGGGTGGCTGGAACTCTGGCACAGGCTCCCCAGTGCTGGGGGGGGATCCTGAGCCTCGGGAGGGGGGTGCATCTGGCCCCTGGGCCTGAGGTTCCCCACCCCTGTTACGTGGCATAAGTCATTATAATATTCTTTGGGTTACTTAATGAGATCCTGCCACAAAATAAAACACCACTTTCCTGAATTACAGACCCATCCTCCTAACCTGAAAAGGTTTTGAAAAAACTGTTGAGCAATCAATTTGTAAGTACCAAGAGAATAAATAACAAGCCGTTAAGAAGTTGCCAGTATGGCTTTATCAAGAAGGTAACTGGCTCGGTGGACGTGGGGAAGTCAGTGGATGTTATATACCTTGACTTTAGCAAGGCTTTTGATACGGTCTCCCACAATATTCTTGCCAGCAAGTTAAGGGATTGTGGATTGGATAAATGGATGGTAAGATGGATAGAAAGATGGCTAGAAGGCCAGGCCCAGCGGGTAGTGATCAATGGCTCGATGTCAGGATGGCGGTCGGTTTCTAGCCTTTATTGTACCGTTTCATGTACAGTCCCTGTGATAAGAGCTGTCAGAGAAGTCAGAATAATAGCATGATGAATCTAGATCATTGTGAACAATTTACAATGATAGGATCAGGAAATTATCCTTTCATCTAGTTAAGGGATATTAGATTTTTCCATTACTGCTACTTTCAGCCTGCAGTATGAATAAGTCTCACTTAATTCTATCCTTTCCCCCTTCTAGCCCTAAGCAGCAAGCCAAAATGGCAGAATATTGCAGATTAATTTTTGGCGATGCACTGCTCATGGATCCACTGGAAAAATACCCAGTAAGATGGTTTGGTATTTCCCTGATCATAAACATATGTATGAATATGTATTTGCATATTTCAGTTTTTTGTTCTTCATATAGGGCCTTACAATTTAGAAGCTGCTGGCTTTTGGGGTTTAGGGTTTTAAAAAGTAATTGATGCTATTATTGGTTTAAGCATATGGCTTCTGATGTGGAGATTATTGTGGGATAATGAGTTCTAATCTTCTAAATCAAAATTGGATCTCATAGGTGCTCTTTTATAATCTGCGCTTTCACAGTTGAAATTATACTGATTATGGTTATTATTATTGTAGATAGTTCAGAGTGCATTTTTAGTTTATTTTCTAAAGCTCCTTTATAGGTATGAGATGGCAGATGGCAGAACAAGGAGCAATGGTCTCAAGTTGTGGTGGGAGAGGTCCAGGTTGGATATTAGGAAAAACTATTTCACTAGGAGGGTGGTGAAGCACTGGAGTCTCCATCCCTAGAGGTGTTTAAGTCTCGGCTTGACAAAGCCCTGGCCAGGTTGATTTAGTTGGAATTGGCCCTGCCTAGAACAAGGGGCTGGACTTGATGACCTCCTGAGGTCTCTTCCAGTTCTGATTCTAAGAACAAAATCATGCCCAACCAGCTTAATTGACTTCTTTGACAGGGTTACTGGCCTAGTGCGGGGCAGGGAAGCAGTCAATGCAATGTATCTTCATTATATTAAGGCTTTTGGTTGTTTCATATGACATTCTCATGAGTAAATGAAATTACTGTAAGGTGCAAAACTGATTGAACGACTGTACTCAGAGTCGTTATTATTGATTGCTGTCTAATTGGGAGGCTGTGTCTAGTAGGGCCTCACAGGGATCAGTCCTGGATGCAGTAGTAGGCAATTTTCTCACAAACTACTTGACGTGGAGAATATGCTTATAAAATCCACAGATGACACCAAGCTGGGGAAGAGGTCTTGCAAGCACTTTGGATGAAAGATTTAGAATTCGAGATAATCTTGACAAATTGGGGCAATTGATCTAAATTCAACAAAGTGAAATCCAGTAAAGAGAAGTGCAAAGTGCTTCACTGAAGAAGGCCACATTGAATGTGCAGTTGCAAAATGGGAAATAACTAGGCAAGTTGTAATACTGCTGAAAGTGATCTGGGGACTAAGGTGGATCACAAATTGTCAGCAATGTGATGCACTTGTGGGGGAAAAAAGCTGATACCATTGCATTAACATGTGTTGCATGTAAGATATGGAAAGCAATTATCTCAATCTACTTGGCATTGGTGAGGCCTTAACTGGAGTACCGGGTCCATTTCTGGCTTCCAAGCTTCAGGAAAAATGTGGACAAATTGGAAAGTCCAGAGAAGGGTGACAAAAATGATAAAATTTCATAATCCTGACCTGTAAGGAAAGGTTAAAAAAGGGCATATTTCATCTTAAGAAAAAATGACTGGTAGATTGGGGGTGAACCCTATAACGGTCTTCAAATTTGTTAAACTACCTGGTGAGGCCTGTCGTTAACCAGGCAAACTCATTTTGTGTAGATTACATTTATAGGAAAGTTCAAGAAATTAAATAAATGTGATAGAATTTTGTATTAATGTGTTTGCAAAATGGAAGTAAAAGAACAATTTTTTAAATTGTAGGATTTCAACTTGAAACATTATTCATTTTATTGAATAATTACCATACATAGTAAAAATGAATCAGAAACTCCTACAGCTTCCATTTCTCTTTCTGTAATTAATTTGTCAAACTCATACAGCTTCCATTTCTCTTTCTGTAATTAATTTGAATTATTTTGTGATTTATAACAGGAAAAATTTTCTTTGCACTAAAATGACAGTTGAATAGGTGACTCGATTTTAATTTTTAGCAAATATTTTTTTATGAACTCTAATCTGATGAAAAATAATTTAACCTTTCATCCAGCATATTTTGGTGTAAAAAGTAGTGTATTTAGCTAATTTAAATGGCAGGATTGTTTATGCAAAATTTGGTATCTGTAGATAATAGTGAAGTATGACTTTACTTTGTACAAACAAATCCCCCCTCCCCCCACACACTAACTCCAAAATGTATGATCGATATGTTAAGGGATGTTGTCATAAAGAGGACTGTGTGTTTCCATGTCTAGGGATGGTAGTAGGGCAAGAAGTAATGTGCTTAATATTTAGCAAAGGAGATTTAGATAGAATTTCCCCCCTATATATTTAAAGTAAGGGTAGTTGAAGTCTGGAATAGGCTTCCAAGTAAGGTTTTTAACTATATAGGGGGGAAATTCTAAGTAAGGGTAGCTGAAGTCTGGAATAGGCTTCCAAGTAAGGTTTTGACCTCCCTCCTCCTCCATCTCTTGGAATTAATATTTGTTTATTCACACCGTTACCATGGTGCTAATTTAACCATATATTCTCATATTATTTTCAAAGGATTTATATAGTTGATCTAAACAATCCTTAAAAAGCCCAAATAATCAAGTTACTGCATCCAACTATAACAAAATATTTATAAACATTTGATCAAGATACTTACAAACAGGCTAACCCCAGGCATGCTTATACCTGTTTTGGTTGACTCCAACATGGACAGGCAAAATTAGCAATGAACTCTGTAAGAGTCTATACCCCTCAACAAATAAATGTCATTCCCAGTTACTAACTTTAGCTAAAAGATGAGACAGTTCACTCTTATTTCCAGTCTTAATCCAGATAAGATTGACCAACACTAACTTAATCCAGATTAGACTGATCAACAGTTTGTCCGTTGCTTCTTGGTTCACATCAGCGTGGATGGATTTAAATCAAACTGATTTAAATCATTTCTGCCCCATCCCCCATGTTCAGTGTTTGTGCCACTTGTATTTCTACCCTTCCTGATTCTCAAAAGGGCACATATCAATCTGCCCTCGTTTGATTAAATTTTACAGGAAACACAAAACATGTGTAATGCCCCTTATGCCTAGCATGCACGTATGGAAAATTCATGTTACTGTTTCCTAAATAGTGATTATTGCTGATTGCTGTTCATTACACAGACACGGTAGTTTCATTTGTCCTCCGGGCCCTTGTGGAGTTGTACATGATACAGCAGCATTGTTTGTTTTGCACCAGAGAAGAGTTAAGCTTCTGGCTGTTACTTCAATAACAAAGGCTTCCTCATATCCCCAAACTCAGATTGTTGTTTGTGTTTTGTTAAGTTGTTTTCTCTGTGCTCCAAGGAGGTAGGTTTCTTACGCATGATTACATCAGCTTCTCCATACAGTTCCTACAAGCTGAAAAGTCAGAACACGATTGCTGATTCTCCCTTAGTGGGAACCTTTGAACAACTTTTCACTGAGTAGCATCTAGTCGTTGATCTTTTGGGGGGGGGAGAGAAGGGGGAGGGAGAGAAGTGTGTTGTTTTTTAAGATACAAAAAGCCAGCACTGCAGTTTATTATATAGTAGCCACCTGCCCCTCTCTTAGTGTTGGGAATGTCGGGGGGCAGATTTCTGGAGCTGACTGTCCCATCACCCTGTCCCCTACTTGCCGAACTACATGTTGGACTGGTTTGTTGAAGTATGCCCTCATTTTATCATGAACCTGTTGCTGTGCTTAAATAAATCCATCTGTCCCCCCTCCACTCCCGGTAGATTGCTTTTTGCACAAATAGGGCAATTTTTAACATGGATTTGGCCACCAGTCATTAAGTGACATCAGCATTTTGGTGGGTCATTGATGGCACATCATGCACCAGTCTTAATACTTCCTTTGAGAAGGGGCTGTGCTGGAACTTTACCTGATGAGTGATTTACCATGTAACTCCCCAAGCATGACTTGCAGACACCTCTGGATCAATTTCATACTAAATCAATGGCTTTTGTTTGTGCTCGAATGGTAATGGCAAGAACTAGATAATTGGGGGTGGGACCACACTGAAGTCTGGCTGTTGGTAGCTTCATTCACTCTGTTTTTCTTGCTCACTTCCCCATGTCAGGTATGAGCTCTTCACCTATCCTTGTGGGGTCGCATCTGGAATACTGCGTCCAGTTTTGGGGGCCCCACTCCAGAAACAATGTGGACAAATTAGAGAGTCCAGCAGAGGGCAATGAAAAAGATTTAGGGGACTGGGGCACATGACTTATGAGGACAGGCTGAGGAAACTTCTCTTCTGCAGACTAAAGACCAGAGTGAGGAGGGATCTGATAGCAGCCTTCAGCTACCTGAAGGGGGGGTTTCCAAAGAGGAAGGAGCCAGGCTGTTCTCAGTGGTGGCAGATGACCAAAGAAGGCGCAATGGTGTCAAGTTGCTGTGTGGGAGATCTAGGTTGGATATTAGGAGGGTGTGGAATCTCCATCATTGGAGATATTTAAAAACAGGTGAGACAAACATCTGTCAGGGGTGATCTAGATGATGCTTGGTACTACCATGAGGGCAGGGGACTAGATTTGATGAACTCTCAAGATCCCTTCCAGTTGTAGTATTCGATGATCAGGAAAAACCGTTTCACTAAGAACGGTGATACACTGGAATGGGTTACGTAGGGAGGTGGTGGAATTTCACCTGTCGAGATGTGTAAGGCATGGCTTGACTTGACAAATTCCTGGTTGGGATGACTTAGTTGGGTTTGGTCCTGTTTTGAGCAGGGGGTTGGAGTAGATGACGATCTGAAGCCTCTGCCTATCTAACAGCTGCTTTTGCATATTAGGATACTGAAGGAATGGGATGGAGAATAATGCAAAGAATGTTGTTATGCCACTATAAAAATCAGTAGTGTAGTCTCTTCTAGATACGGAGAGCAACATGGGTCCCCTCATCTTAAAGATATGATAGAATACAGCCTCTCTCCGAGTTACAGACCAAACACGTGGCCATAACTCGAGCTGTTTGTAACTCGGACCCCATTGAGTTACACGCGACCGCGCTGTTCGTAACTTGGGGACTGCTTTTACGACCTCTCCATGGGAGCTTTGGTTGTAAGTGTGAACAGTCGTAACTCGACCGTTCGCAACTCGGGGAACAGCTGTAGTGGGAGCTTAGTGAAGGCCCGTGAGGATGCTTAGTGTCCTGGCACATCTCTCCTTTGAAAAGATTAGGATTGTTACTTTGGAAGGCAGATGAATATTAAGGGATGTGATAAAAATGCATAAAGTAATGAATGGTCAAGAGAAAGTAGAGTGGGAACTTCTATTCTCCCTGCCTCCTAACACAAGACTAAAGGAACGTTCAATGAAACACAAGGGGGGGGGGGCGATATTTTTTCCACACAGTGCGTAATTAGACAGTAGAACACTCCGCCACAGGACACTGTTCAGGCTAAGAAATTAAGTTTCAAAATGGGATTGAATGTGTATGATTATCTGGACTGCTATATCTCCAGTCTTCTGCATTTAAACCGCTGTCTTAATGATGAGGGATGAGGAGATCTTGATGGGGGAGGATTATGCCAAATCTGCCTAACTTGGGGTCTTGCACCTTCCTCTGAAGCAACTAATGCTGAGCACTATTATAACAAAGGAACTGGGCTAGATGGACCCACAGGTATGAGTCCATCAGGCAATTCCTGTATTCTTAAAATTGGTTGGAATTATAAGCAGCTGAAAGCAGGTTTATAATGTAAGATGTTGCACATCCTTATCTTCCAGTGCCACGGTGCACTCAGCCATGTTTGGGCAAAACTGAAAACCTCTGATTATTATAAAGCCTTATGTTTCATGGTCTACATATGCAGAATATCTGAGGGGTAGCCATGTTAGTCGGTAACTGTAAAAACAATGCACAGTTCTGTGGCACCTTAGAGTCCAACAAATATGTTACGTCATGAGCTTTCATTTTTAAAACCCACTGCATCACATAAGTTGGAGTGGAAATTACAGAATTCGGGGTGTGTATATAACAGCAAAAGAAGTTACCTGTCAATTGCAGCTTCATTAACACTTTGAAGTTGTGGAAGTAGTCTTTTTGTGGTGGACATGGTATCTATTGCGCTCTGTTCAGCCTTGCATCTTATTGCAAGTGGCCTTATACAGGCAGTCCCCAGGTTACATGGATCTGACTTACATCGGATCCCTACTTACAAACGGGGTGAGGCAACCCCGCACTAGCTGTTTCCCCCCAGCAGACCAGGGAGACGCAAAGCTAGCGCCACCCCCAGCAGACCAGGGAGACGCGGAGCGGCTTTTCTCAGCAGACACCTCAGCTTGAGAATAAAGGACTGAGGGAAGTGAGGTGTGGAAGAATAAAACTGAGCTCTGGAGAAATGTTTGGCTAGAGTTTCCCCTACAATATGTACCAGTTCCGACTTACATACAAATTCAACTTAAGAACAAACCTACAGTCCCTATCTTGTACGTAACCCGGGGACTGCCTGTAGTTGGGTCTGTTTGGAGTCGCTACATGTGCGCAAACTTGTGCTGACAGAATTCTGTGTTCTTTTCAGCACGTAGTCTGTCCCAGTCCGTGTCCCATTCTTTTAGATCGATCTGTATCTTTTTTTCCCCTAATGCTAATAGTTGCTTGGTCATTCCAAGGTCATCTTCCTTTTCTTATTCACATTTCAGTCTAAACACAGGGAGGCATCAGAAAGAAAAATGAATGGGTCATTTTGGACTTAACTTTTTTGATTCACGCAGGAGTGAAGTGCCAAATACTAACCTGTGATTTATTTCCAACTGCAGTATTTCAAGATAGTGTGGAGAAACAAGGTGTTGTGGGTAAAAAGTCAACCCTACAGATTTCTAGCAAACTCCGTTAAGGATTGTTGGACTCTGAATTGGGATTGCAGTGAATATTTGTCAGTGTAACTCACAAGCTTTTTTTTTTATTATTATAGTGGAGGGGTTATGATCTACATTGACCGAATAGAAGTTGTGAACAAGTTAGCACCATATGCAGGTAGTCTTTCTTTCCTATTTCATCAAGAAGTATTGCGCCTCACCCTGTGTGTTCATTTGGGAAAGGGAAGAGGTGAAAGTCCTGTTACTTGGGTATCTACAACTGTACTGGGCAAAGCACATGTAAATAGATCATAGTAGACACTCCTGGGTGAGAGGGTGGACACATGCAGCCTCCCTTTTGTTTTATCTAGTTTAATCTGAGTCACTAAAGCCTTTCCTTCAAGTAGCCTGGTACCCAGCAAAGGTCAGGTAAGTGTAAGAGTGAGGAAGAATGGCCTTGTGTTTATGGCCCCAAACTTCGAACCCAGGAGAGCTGGGTTCTCTTCTGGCACTAACACAGGCTTTCTGTGTGACTGTTCGCTAAGTCCACCCTTCTCTGTGGCCTCTATAGGCCACCTATTACATGGGTAACATGAGGCTGCCTAATCTTGCAGGGTGTCTGGGAGACGCCATGTTTAATGTTTAGAAGACAGTAGAGGGTGCCAGAGGAATGCAGAAAGCTTCATGGAGTAGAGCGTTGTACTGGTCTTGCCTTGACACATGGGAGTCTTGTCGGAGATGGGAGTCGTGTCTGCACAGTGATGTTTGCATTTATTTGCTGTGTGGACTCTTTACTATAACAGACTTGATAAGCGAACAGACCAAATGGTGCCTGCTTTTGAGAGTGCAGAGCTAGTGAAGCTACTGTGGATGCACACAGCTGATGGGACTTTCCTTTCTTTGGGAGCCGCATCCTGTTTGTAAACCGGTTACTCTTACCTTGGGCCTCGCTCTCAGGCAGACAGGTATTGCAGCCTTTGTCCCTCAGGACTGTACTGAACCTGAGCATGGCAGGAACTGCCTACCTGATTTTCCAGGTAGCAGGACCAAAATGAGCCTGCTGACATCAAGTTACTCCAGTCAGTCAGAATGAGGGCAAATGTAGACAAGCTGAATCTGAATATTTTTACACTACACTCGAGCAGTCATTCTACAGGAGCCAGCGCATCGGTGGGCAGTACCACTTCCATTCACTCTGTCCTGGTGTGGTCCCTCACCAGCGAATGATTCTACAACTATAGATCCACATTCCCACAGACTGGAATTTTCCAGGCATGGTTTGTCCAAAGGAAAATGAGTAGGAGCAAATAAACTGTAAAGAGATTGCCTGCCTCATGATCTTCAAATCAGTTTGACTTTTGAAGTGGCAGGCTTGGTTTGCAAAGAGCCCCCGTTCTGAATAACTGAGTTGGCTAAGTTTGGACCTAAAAAAAACTGCAGGACCAAGCACATGCAACTAGCTCAGCTGCTCAAAAGCTGGTAAAGTGGAGGCGCTTGTGAAGGCAGCAGGCTTGCGTAAGGCCTCTGTTGCTCCACAAAGTCACCTGCTGTGACACAGGAAACTGAAATCTCTGCTGTTGCCATATGTGGAACCTGTGCTCCCAAGAGGGAGAACCTCTGACTTTTCTTCCTTCCAAACATGGCAGTGTGCTGCCAGAGACTAGCGTTACTGCAGCTGTGAGCAAGGAATCCCCGCTCAGGTATCCACAGCATCTTACTAGGCCTGTTCCTGTTACATGGCTCATGGCAGACTTCCCTCTGTTTGCTGTTGCAGACCATCAAGCAGGGCTGTTCAATATTTTTATTTGTGCATAAGTATCCTACTCTTCTAGGTTTGGTTTGCACAATCTAGAACTGAGGGTCTCTAACCTTATGAGAGTGCCAGGGCCATTAGAATGGCCGTGGGGACGGAAAAGCATTGCTCTGTTGCTGTGTTGTCCTGAGTAATTCTTTCTCTCTGCTCAGTGTACGATATTGTGAGGAACTACACTGCTGACTATGATAGGGCCCTGATCTTCAATAAGATTCACCATGAGCTGAATCAGTTCTGCAGTGCCCACACCCTCCAGGAGGTGTACATCGAGCTGTTTGGTAAGTATGTGGGGACCGGGGAGTTTACAACGTAACCACGCGCTTAGCTCCTTGCTGCCCTTCCCCAAAGAGTGCAGCTGAATTCAGGAAGCGCTGGAGGGAGCAGTACCGCGCTGTGTGTGGGTCCTGATCTCCTCAGGGCCTTGCATATTTAAGGCCAGAGCCTTAGCTCTGAAAGGGTGAGGGAGAGCAGGGTTTCCACTGAGCTAGAGAAGGCATGGGGCATTTTCACCCTTTAGAACTCTGCCGAATGCCCCGAACAGCAGCGGTTGAGAGGGACATTAAACTAAACACAGAGGTTATCTCCGAAAAGCAAACCCATAGAGCTCCCAGTGCAACAGCTGTTGGTCTCTGTGGAGCAGCAGTCCAAGTACCGAGCTGGTAATAGTATGCCCATGACCCCTAGGGCGCATGTAGCGCTGGGGAATCAGGAGTCGGACAGCATGTTGCGGGGGTTTCCTTATTCTTATTTAGTACTAGATGGGATTCCCTGCACTAAGGCGAGCAATGTATTGACACTAATCCTACGTGTATGTTAGCCAGGGGCAATGCTGAGTGTTACAGCGGGCTGCAGTGTTGCTGAATGTTTCATGTCCCTTGAATACAGATCAGATTGATGAGAACTTGAAGCTGGCGCTGCAAAAAGATCTGAATGTCATGGCTCCAGGTCTCACCATCCAGGTAGGCTCCTTCCCCAAGGAAAACATCGGTATTTCACCTCGCTAAAGCTCAGAGTTGAGATGGAATAGAAATGCTTTCCTGCCTTTATATTCCACATGGCTTTCGAGTGCCAAGGACAGGACCCGTGCCAATTTGTCCTCTCTCTGCGAGGAACCTTTCTGCTTGTTCCCCAGACCAACTGCCATTTCTGTACATCCTGCCGTGTGATGACGTGGGTTGCCTTAAAAGTGTGCAGCTGTATCTAGCAGAGCAGTGTTGTAATTCTACATTCGGCTTCTGCGTTCTCTCCGCAGATCTGCAAAGCTCTGGCCATTCTAACCACTTCAGCTTTTCCCAAAACCCACTTAGACATCCTCCTCCCCGTCTTTTTTTTCATGGAAAACTTGTCATTATAATTAGAAAAATGAACTGATGTGGGAGAGAAGTGACCCCTTTCTGCACAGATGTGCACATATTTGTGACATCTGCCAACATATTAGTGACAAAAATGAGTTTTTACTGTTTCTGGCATCCCTGCAGAGCCAGTCCATCTCTAAATATGCTTATCATCAGCACGCTTGATCAAAGTAACTTAAACAAGAGAAAACTGGGCTAGTTCTTCTCCAGGGTCTGTTATTTGTACAGAGGGAGGTTGTTTCCAAAAGACTTTTTCTGCTTGCAGTTGACATTAGAAATCTGGTTTCATCTGGGCTGGGAGGCTGTCATGGCTGAAGAACTTGTGAGCAGTCATTTGAACAGGAACTAAACATGCAAAAGTTGTGCTGAAGAGGGGTCGGACTCAGGCTTTGTCTATACTGCACAGCTCTGAGCCACACAGGTGTGGGGCTGTGTGAGCGCTGCTGTTGTTGGCATTTTTTCCAACAAACTTGCACCTCCCACCTGCGAGCTGTGTGTTTGTGGGCAGGAGAGCACTCCTGAGGACAAAGTGCTGTTACTATGGCAAAGTGGGGGGAGAATGGGCGGGGAGAAGGGGGTGGTAAGCATCACGACACAAGCTTTGTCACTCGGTTGCCAGCATCGCCAATGACTCTACTTTGCTTGTTTTTGTTGCCAAATTTAATTTGCCCAATTAATATTCTGAGTGGAGGGAGCCTTTTTTTGAGTTCATAATAAACATCCCTACGCCTTGACAGCTTGACTTTGCTGCTGCATGCTCCATGTGCAATGACAGGCTGGGGTAAGCATTGCATCACAATCAACTCTGGAAGAGCCCTGAGGCCTTGCTTTTCCAAATCACCCTAAGCCATCCAGATTTAAAAGGCCTGATAGTTTAAGGTAAAAAGAAGCAGGAAAAACTCTCAATTTTTTTTTAAAGTAAACCCCTTCAGATCCTCGGTAGCCACCATAAGGAGCACAAGCACAATTTCACAGCTTATTTGCAGCTTATTTCCGTTCACTGAATTTAAATTGCAGAGGTAAATCCTGTTCTCAAGCATGTGCCATCCTACTGAATACAACCGAGGGCAGCTCTTGGTGTGCCAGTCTTTGTTACCTGTTAGGAGTTGGAAGGCAGCCAGCTTGACAAAGCCCAATCTGAGTTGTGGGACCAGCAGTTGGCGAACACGTTGTTTAAGTTGTGAACTAAACACACATCATGTCAAGTCCTGCCTGGCGTTTTCAGCCTCTCCTCAGAATAGCATTGCATTTTCTAGCTTCTGGGACAATGTTTCTTACTGTGCTGCTTGCCTGGCATACTCTGTATCTGTGTCACTGAAGCCATGTGCTCACTTGGCAAAGGTGGCATCAGGATCTTCAGTAGAGCCCTTTACCTATGACGGCTTGAAGCTTTCTAGCCTGAAATTCTGTAAGCCCAGCATTGAGTTACTTTGGAGCTTTCGGGAAGTTTTGCTTTGTCAGTATGTTTTGAGCTTGTGAAGGTGAAAATATTTCCCCACTGTAAAAATGGATTTGGGAACACACAACTCGAGGATGTAGTTCTCTCAGCTGCCTGCAAATACAAGTTCCCCGTATTGAGGAGTTGGGGAGGGGGTGTGTATAGCAGAACCTCTTGTGCCTGCTCAGAGCTATGACCCCCAACATCAGAGCTATGCATCACACAGCAACTGTTTGATGTAGACTTTAAGCACAAAATCAGTTTGTTTAAACTTCAGGTCAGACTGTTTTTGGTGCAGAAACTGTTACACCCTGGACCTTCTGAATGGCCAACGGGCTGTAGGAGTTGGCGTTTTCTATGAGGAATAAACTAGGAAAGCTTTTGTCTTGTGCATTGTGTATGCTGCAGGCCTGGTGGCAAATCCACAGCACCACGGTAGGAGTCTTCTCTTCGGAGCCCTTTGTCCAGTGTGTAACACGGGGGACACTGACCCCTTTCCTCTTAAACCCAGGAAACTAAAACACTCACTGACTGGTCAGGATAAAAGTGACTGACGGTCTCATTCACTGAGCACTAGGTGGTCAGAAGCGTGCCAGCATCCGTAGTGCTGTCCATTGTCTCCGTGCTGCTGGCATAAGAACTAGAGCTTTCTCCACTAGACGGCACTGCCTGGATCTGGGGATCTCACCAAATGAGTTGCATTTCTTGCCGATGGAATTGTAGAGAGGCTGCTTTTAAATGTCCCTTGGCTTCTTTTCCAGGCGGTACGTGTTACGAAGCCCAAAATCCCAGAAGCCATCCGAAGAAACTTTGAACTAATGTGAGTAGCTGTGCAGCAGATCCCATTGTTTAGTGGGTCCGTGCTCCTCACATCAACTAGGGTGTGTCGCCGTCCCAGGAGGAGCAGTGGGCCCCTCACACCCATTGCAGTGGCTCTCCGCTCCTTATTCCTGCCTGTGTCTTGGCGGGGGAATTCCATGGCAAGAGGAAGATTCTCTCCTCGGGTCAGTCCCATCTGCTTCTGTTGCTAGAACATCCAGAGACCCTCGAGGAAGGCTCCCCTTCCCTGCCCTTGGGTAATGCAGAGAGCTGAGCTCAGCAAAGCCCTAATGGCATCATAGCTACTGAATGACCGGGCTCTTTAAGGCCACTGCAGCAGCGAGGGGAACTCTGTATCTGCTGAGCATGCTCTGCGTGTCCCCTCCCTGGCAGTAGGAAAGGCCACAGGCTCTGATGTAAATGCAGATTGCCAAGGACTCAGGTGCAGCAAAGTGGAGCTCTTCTGTCACACTTCTGTCGGTTTTTTGAGGAGATTCCCCCTCCCCGACTTCATGTAGACGTGACATTTGAACTCCCTCCCTCCCCCTTTCCTGGTTTGTGCATCATCTTCCAAACCATTAGCTGCTACTGCAGTACCAGAGGGGAGTCCTGGAGATGGCTCCCACACACATGAAGGGAGGAGGCAGCCTACAGCCTTCTTGAGGGGCTGGTGATGCAGAGCTCACTGACTGATTGTTGCAGACCCATAGAACAGTACCGCAGTGCTATCCCCTCCAGCGTAGGGATGGACACAGCACTGCGTGGAATCTGGCAGAGCCAGGAACCAAATCCAAGGCTCCTGAGTCTTGAACAAGTTCCTCAATCGCTAAGGCAGTTGGTGGGTGTCGTCATTGAAAAGGTTGGGAACCCCTTTTTTCGCCACCAGACCACCCTTCCACTTCAGCAGCCTTTGGCACTGGGCTCCTCAGACGACACTTGTGATGAGGGCAGTCCTTGGCTCTGAACCAGTGTGTGGGACAAGACACTCGTGATGAGGGCAGTCCTTGGCTCTGAACCAGTGTGTGAGATGAGAGCTTGCAAGAAGAGGGTAACCCGGATTAGTCCGATCGGGTTTCCTGTGTCGCTTCCAGTTGAGTCAGAGGGCTGCATGGAGGTCCCTCCGACAGCGGCAGTGGCTGTCTGTGCACGTGGACGCTGCTTAGCTCACTGATCGACACCTTTCTGTGCACCTGCAAGACATGACATGGGGCAGGAATTCAGAGCATGGTGAAGTCCCCGAATTAAACACCATTCTGTTTGCTGCTGGGAGACCTTGGCCCAACCATTCTGTTGCCCTTCGCAACCCTCTAGCATTTTGAATTTCTCTCCCCTTTCCCGTGTCTAGTGGTGTGAGCAGGAGTGTACTCGGAGGCTGGGACCAATGCTAATTGTATCTTCCCAAGCTAGCAGAGGGCACGAGACTGAAGCAGTAACATTGTAGGGCCTCGCCCTGGGTAGCATGCTGTCTTCTGGGTGGCATTCTCCCACCTGGGCATCTAAATGTGAGGCTGATCTGCCCAGGGTCTTGGCTGGAACAAAGAGACCCTCTGCTGAAAGGTGTTGACTCTGTCAGGACATGGTTTAGTCTTGGGGTCGTTAGAGAGCGCTGGCTACTTCGGCTTTGCTGGTGTTAGTAAGGGTGGCACAGCTGCAAGCGTGTTTTGCAGAGCAGCTGGCCCGTCCAGCCCGGAGACTCGACGGTAGTGTGCTCTGCCTTGCAGCTGTCCTGGAAAAGCAGTGGCAGAGCGCAGTAGCTTGTCATGTGAGTGACACACACATTTGTGTAAGCTCAGTGCCCTGCCCCAGGTATTGGCTGCCTGTTTCTAGGTGCTGGTCCTGAGCTTGGATCTGTAAAGACGGCAGAGCTGTAGAGCACAGTTGCTTGCAATTCCCACCTGAGGCAAGCTAATTACAAGCCTTCCTTGCTATTTGATGCAAGGTGGGCAGCAGGATACTGTCAGACTCTTCTGATTCCCTAGACGGTTACAGGTGCAGTAGGCAGGTGTTTCTGTTCTCTGCGCCTTCCAGGGATGCTGAGGCTCCCATGTGCAGAGGATCATTCAAGGTGGTCTTTAAATCAGTAACTCTTCCTCCCTTGCTAAGCTTGTACTGGGGGGTAGAGCCCCAGGGCCTGTTGAACCTCCCTTTTGCTCAAGCAGCCAACTGGCCTCCAGTTATGTCTCACGTGGAGTGAATCCCTCTAATTGGATTCTGATTTAAATGTTGACTAGTAAGAGATTAACTCCCACGTTGGACTTCAAGAGTAGCTGGCGGTGACACGGCGTCCACTAGTGCAGGGCGGCACAAAGCCAAGGAGCAAAGCAAAATCCCAATAAGTGAGCTGCTCTTCTTCAGCAGCCAAGTTATTGGACTCTCTAACCCAGTGTTTCCCAATTTTATTTGGCCACGGAACCCTTTTTACCTTGAAAGGATTTCAAGGAACCCTGAGATTCTGAGAAAAAAACAAACAAACCCACCCCGATT